CCACGGGTCCTGGGTGCCCCGATGCTGGGTGCCCCAGCACTGCAAATTCTTGGGGTGCCCCAAAGTTGTGCACCCCTGCCGCTGTGGGTCCCCGGGGTTCCCCGGGTGGGTGGCTCTGTAAATCCGCCCAAGAAGAAGATGTCTGGCTGGACAGTGTGGGGTGCAGTGGGTACCCCCAGCCTGCAGACGGGGCCGCTGCACAGCATGGGGGCTCAGCCCTGTTTCCTTCCCAGCATCGCTGGCAGCTGGGCCAGCCCTGAAGACTGCTCATTTGGAGCCCAAAGGCCTGGCCGGTGCAGCCCCCTGCTCTGAAAGCCTGGGCTGGTGAGCCACCTCCTTCCCAAGGGCAAATCCTGCCCTCGGGCACACTCCTGGGTCAGTGGATTGCCCACGTGTTGTCCTGTGTGGTTTATCATAGCGAGATGACAGCCCTGGGGCGTTGTTTTTAAGCCACGAGCCTTGTTGGGCTTCCATCTGCTGCTGGGCTTCAGGCAGACATCCTCGGTCCGAACAAGGGCCCCGAAGCTCCAGGCTCCTGCCCCTTCTGGTGCTGTGGTTGGATATTTGGGGTGTTTGAGCCTCTCGCCCTGCCGGCAGCAGCTGCTGGAACAGGCAGGCCCCATCTGCCAAACCTCCCCTCTTCCCTGGTTTAGCTAAACTTGAGGGGGTTTGCTGGGAGCAGCTTGTACGTGCCCCTCGCTTTTTAATTTACTAGAGATGAGGGATCTGCGATCCAAGTGCTGTCCCTGACTTCCACTCTCTGCTCTCTTATTTCTGTTCTGTTTGTGCATGTGCCCCATCTTCCACTTCTGCTGTGCCAAAGAATTTGGAGGCTCAAATACAAGGGCTGCTCTCCCTGCCAAACAGCCGTGCCCGTTAGTGATGCCCACCCTGGTTGTTGTGCTGGGGCTGGCGTGGGCGATGCCTGGAGGGCTGCTGGGGACGTGGCCCCTGTGGTTGGGGAACACCTCTGCCTAAACTGCAACTCACCACTTGCAGCCAGGCTTTGAAGGGTGCAGCAGGGTACAGTTCATGGCTCCCTTGCGTGACCAAGGGTCCTGGAGCACCTCATTTACCCACGTGGCTTGATGACAGGAGCTACCAAGGTGCTGGTGTCAGTGTCTGCCTTTCCCGTGTCCCTGTGGATCTGCTTCAATCCCAGTCTGGGCGAGCTTGGTTTGCCGTGCCCACAGGTGTGGCCATGGAGGCACCAGGATGGGGCCGTTTTTCCAAGGAGGGGTTTGGCCCCACACTTATCAGGCTGCTCTTACGAAACAATCTGTATTGATGCAGAGGCTGACGAGGGTTCAAAAGTGGCTGGAGGACCCAGCTCGCTGCCTGATTTCTGTGCCTAAGGAGTGCTGGCAGAGGAGGGAGAGCAAGCCCTGCCCCGGGGCACCCCATGGCTTTTGGATCCTGGCAGTCCTGCTCAGGTGTGCCTTGGGCTGCTTTTGGACAAATCGTGTCTGTAGAGAAGAGGGATGAGGGGAGACGATGCCGAGAGGACTGGGGATGGGGTTTGCAGGGCCACCACCAGCTTTCCAGGGGAATCTTGCCAGTATGGCCAAGAGCCAGGGGGGGGGCCCCG